TGGGGGCAACTGGGAGGCACTGGAAAGGGATTAGGGGGGATTGGGAGGGGATAGGGGGCGACTAGGGGGCACTGGGAGGAGATTGGGGGTGATTTGGGGCACTGGGAGGGGATTGGGGGTGATTTGGGGCACTGGGAGGGGATTGGGGTGCACTGGGAGGTGCTGGGGGATACTGGGGGGCCGCACTGGTGGTTACTGGTGGTCACTGGGAGCCCCCCTCCCCCCCAGACCTACGCGGAGATGGACCCCACCACGGCGGCGCTGGAGAAGGAGCACGAGGCCGTGAGTCACCGGGGGGTCCCCAAGTGTCCAGGGGGGTCCCCAAGGATCTGGGGGGGTCCCCAAGGGTTTGGGGGGGTCCCTCAAGGCCCTGGAGAGGTGTCCCCAAGGGTTTTGGGGTGTTCCTGAGGGTCTACAGGGGGTCCCCAAGGTTCTAGAGGTGTCCCCAAGGGTGCTGGGGTGTCCTTGAGGGTCTGGGGGGTGTCCTTGAGGGTCTGGGGGTGTCCTTGAGGGTCTGGGGGTGTCCTTGAGGGTTTGGGGGTGCCTCCAAGGATCCAGGGGGTTCCCCAAGGGCCCTGGAGAGGTGTCCCCAAGGGTTTTGGGGTGTGCCTGAGGGTCTACAGGGGGTCCCCAAGCTTCTAGAGGTGTCTCCAAGGGTGCTGAGATGTTCCTGAGGTTCTAGGGAGGTTCCCCACAGCTCCAGAGGAGTCCCCGAGGGTCTGGGCGTGTCCCCTGAGGGCCTGAGGGTCTACAGGGGGTCCCCAAGCTTCTAGAGGTGTCTCCAAGGGTGCTGAGATGTTCCTGAGGTTCTAGGGAGGTTCCCCACAGCTCCAGAGGAGTCCCCGAGGGTCTGGGCGTGTCCCCTGAGGGTTTGGGGGTGTCCCTGAGGGTCTGGGGGAGTCCTCAAGGGCCCTGGAGAGGTGTCCCCATGGTTCTAGAGGTGTCCCCAAGGGTTTTAGGGTGTTCCTTGAAGGTCAGGGGGTGTCCCCAAGGATCTAGAGGTGTCTCCTAGGGTGCTGAGATGTTCCTGAGGTTCTAGGTGGTGTCCCCAAGGGTTCTGGGAAGTCCTTGAGGTTCTGGGGGTGCCCCCAAGGTTCTGGGGGTGCCCCCCGAGGGTTTGGGGGTGTCCCCAAGGATCTGGGGGGTCTTGGAGAGGTGTCCTCAAGGGTTTTGGGGTGTTCCTGAAGGTCTACAGGGGGTCCCCAAGCTTCTAGAGATGTCCCCAAGGGTGCTGAGATGTTCCTGAGGTTCTAGGGGGGTTCCCCACAGCTCCAGAGGAGTCCCCAAGGGTCTGGGGGGGTCCCCAAGGGCCCTGGAGAGGTGTCCTCAAGGGTTTTGGGGTGTTCCTGAGGGTCTACAGAGGATCCCCAAGCTTCTAGAGGTGTCCCCAAGGTTCTAGAGGTGTCCCCAAGGGTGCTGAGATGTTCCTGAGGTTCTAGGCGGTGTCCCCAAGGGTTCTGGGGAGTCCTTGAGGGTTTGGGGATGTCCCAATGGTCTGGGGGTGTCCCCACGCCCCCGTTGCGTGTCCCGTGTCCCCCCCAGATCACGAAGGTGAAGTACGTGGACAAGATCCACATCGGGCACTTTGAGATCGACGCCTGGTACTTCTCCCCGTTCCCCGAGGACTACGGGAAGCAGCCCAAGCTCTGGATCTGCGAGTACTGCCTCAAGTACATGAAGTTCGAGCGCACCTACCGCCTCCACCTGGTACGGGGACACGCCTGGGACACGCGTGTGACACGCGTGTCACCCGCGGGGGGACGCCTTGGGGACGGGGAGGGGACACGCGTGTGGAGAACGGGGGGCAGCCACAGCTCTGGGGGGGTTTCTGAGCACCTGGAGGTGAGGTCTCGTCATATGTACGGGTCTGTGAGGTGGGGACACACGTGTGACACGCATGTAGCATGTTTAGGGACATATGTGACATGCGTGTGATGCATGTGACACTTGGGAACACATAGGGACACACACAGAGCCCCAGCTCTGGTGTCATTTGGAGGGGTCCCTGAGAGTTTGGGGGTGTCCCCAAGGGCCCTGGAGAGGTGTCCCCAAAGTTCTAGAGGTGTCCCCAAGGGTTTTGGGGTGTTCCTGAGGGTCTACAGGGCATCCTCAAAGGTTTGAGAGGTGTCCCCAAGGTTCTAGAGGTGTCCCCAAGGGTGCTGAGATGTTCCTGAGGTTCTAGGCGGTGTCCCCAAGGGTTCTGGGGAGTCCTTGAGGGTTTGGGGATGTCCCAATGGTCTGGGGGTGTCCCCACGCCCCCGTTGCGTGTCCCGTGTCCCCCCCAGATCACGAAGGTGAAGTACGTGGACAAGATCCACATCGGGCACTTTGAGATCGACGCCTGGTACTTCTCCCCGTTCCCCGAGGACTACGGGAAGCAGCCCAAGCTCTGGATCTGCGAGTACTGCCTCAAGTACATGAAGTTCGAGCGCACCTACCGCCTCCACCTGGTACGGGGACACGCCTGGGACACGCGTGTGACACGCGTGTCACCCGCGGGGGGACGCCTTGGGGACGGGGAGGGGACACGCGTGTGGAGAACGGGGGGCAGCCACAGCTCTGGGGGGGTTTCTGAGCACCTGGAGGTGAGGTCTCGTCATATGTACGGGTCTGTGAGGTGGGGGACACACGTGTGACACGCATGTAGCATGTTTGGGGACATGGGTGACACGTGTGATGCATGTGACATGTAGGGACACACACAGCCCCAGCTCTGAGGGGGTTTCTGAGCTCCAGGAGATGAGGTCTCATCACACCTGCAGGTCCTTGGGGTGGGGACACACACATGACATGCATGTGGCATGTCTGGGGACACACGGGACATGCATGTAGCATGTTTAGGGACCTGTGTGGCACGTGTGTGATGCATGTGACACGTGGGGACACATGCAGAGCTCCAGCTCTGGTGTCTCTGAGCCCCAGGAGATGAGGTCTCGTCATACAAACGGGTCTGTGAGGTGGGAGACATACGTGTGACACATATGTAGCATGTTTGGGGACATGTGTGGCATGTATGTGATGCATGTGACACACAGGGACACACGCAGAGCCCCGGCTCTGGTGTCTCTGAGCCCCAGGAGGTGAGGTCTCATCACACCTGCAGGTCCTTGGGGTGGGGACACACACATGACATGCATGTAGCATGTTTGGGGACACATTTAGGAACATGTGTGACATGTGTGTGACATGTGACACGTGGGGACACACACATGACATGCATGTAGCATGTTTGGGGACACATTTAGGAACATGTGTGACATGTGTGTGACATGTGACACGTGGGGACACACACATGACATGCATGTAGCATGTTTGGGGACACATTTAGGAACATGTGTGACATGTGTGTGACATGTGACACGTGGGGACACACACATGACATGCATGTAGCATGTTTGGGGACACATTTAGGAACATGTGTGACATGTGTGTGACATGTGACACGTGGGGACACACACATGACATGCATGTAGCATGTTTGGGGACACATTTAGGAACATGTGTGACATGTGTGTGACATGTGACACGTGGGGACACACACATGACATGCATGTAGCATGTTTGGGGACACATTTAGGAACATGTGTGACATGTGTGTGACATGTGACACGTGGGGACACACACATGACATGCATGTAGCATGTTTGGGGACACATTTAGGAACATGTGTGACATGTGTGTGACATGTGACACGTGGGGACACACACATGACATGCATGTAGCATGTTTGGGGACACATTTAGGAACATGTGTGACATGTGTGTGACATGGGACATGTAGGGACACACACAGAGCCCCAGCTCTGGGGTCTCTGAGTCCCAGGAGGTGAGGTCTCATCACACCTGCAGGTCCTTGGGGTGGGGACACACACATGACATGCATGTGGCATGTCTGGGGACACATGGGACATGCATGTAGCATATTTAGGGACCTGTGTGGCACATGTGTGATGCATGTGACACGTGGGGACACACACAGAGCCCCAGCTCTGGTGTCTTTGAGCCCCAGGAGATGAGGTCTTGTCATACGTACAAGTCTGTGAGGTGGGGGACACACGTGTGACACGCATGTAGCATGTTTGGGGACATGTGTGGCATGTGTGTGATGCATGTGACACATAGGAACACACACAGAGGTGACACGTGTGATGCATGTGACATGTAGGGACACACACAGCCCCAGCTCTGAGGGGGTTTCTGAGCTCCAGGAGATGAGGTCTCATCACACCTGCAGGTCCTTGGGGTGGGGACACACACATGACATGCATGTGGCATGTCTGGGGACACACGGGACATGCATGTAGCATGTTTAGGGACCTGTGTGGCACGTGTGTGATGCATGTGACACGTGGGGACACATGCAGAGCTCCAGCTCTGGTGTCTCTGAGCCCCAGGAGATGAGGTCTCGTCATACAAACGGGTCTGTGAGGTGGGAGACATACGTGTGACACATATGTAGCATGTTTGGGGACATGTGTGGCATGTATGTGATGCATGTGACACACAGGGACACACGCAGAGCCCCGGCTCTGGTGTCTCTGAGCCCCAGGAGGTGAGGTCTCATCACACCTGCAGGTCCTTGGGGTGGGGACACACACATGACATGCATGTAGCATGTTTGGGGACACATTTAGGAACATGTGTGACATGTGTGTGACATGTGACACGTGGGGACACACACAGAGCTCCAGCTCTGGTGTCTCTGAGCCCCAGGAGGTGAGGTCTCGTCATATGTATGGGTCCATGAGGTGGGGGACAGTCATGTGACATACATGTAGCATGTTTAGGGACCTCTGTGACACATGTGTGATGCATGTGACACGTAGGGACACATGCAGAGCCCCAGCTCTGGAGTCTCTGAGCCCCAGGAGGTGAGGTCTCATCACACCTATGGGCTCATGGGGTGGTGACACACACGTGAGACACGTGGCGTGTGCGGGGCCACGTCTGACCCAGGCGTGTGACACGCGTGACCTTCCCCAGGGCCAGTGCCAGTGGCGGCAGCCGCCGGGGCGGGAGATTTACCGCAAGAGCAACATCTCGGTCTACGAGGTGGACGGCAAAGACCACAAGGTGGGTGGTGAGGACGGGACGGACACGCGTGGAGATGACATGATATCACGTGATGACGCCATGATGATGTCATGATGACGTCACGCACCCCCAGATCTACTGCCAGAACCTCTGCCTCTTGGCCAAGCTCTTCCTGGACCACAAGACCCTCTACTTCGACGTGGAGCCCTTCGTCTTCTACCTGCTGACGGAGGTGGACCGCCAGGGCGCCCACATCGTGGGGTACTTCTCCAAGGTAAACGGGGGGGGACCCTCCCAGTGACGTCACTGGTGACGTCATCAGTGATGTCATTGCTCATGTCACACACCCCCCATGTCCAGGAGAAGGAGTCCCCCGACGGCAACAACGTGGCCTGTATCCTGACCCTGCCCCCCTACCAGCGCCGCGGCTACGGAAAGTTCCTCATCGCCTTCAGTGAGTCACCCCCCAAAATTCTGGGGTCCCCCCCCCAAATTTCTAGGTCCCCCCCAAATCCCCTGGGGTCCCCTATGGATCCCCCCAAACTCTCTGGGTCCCTCCAAACTCCTGTGTCTCCCTGTGGATCCCCCCAATCTCCTGGGGTCCCCCCCAAACACTGGG